TGTCAGCCTAAATATGGAAGAGAGAGAAGTCTTTTGCCTGCATCAGCTCAATCCAAAGCCATCCACAGGCAGCAGTCGCTTAACTGCGACATCATATATGTTTTTCAAAATTAGGAGTGCTAACAAAGAATTAAGGGAGTACTGAGATAGCTATTTCTAACCTTGTTTGGTTTTCATCAGTCAGACATACCCTTCCGAGATTCGAACCTGGGCTGTCTGCATGTTTAGGCTGACAGGGTGTTCAAAAAGCACTCATATATATATATATCATTTAAAATTCTAAAAATTGGAGGTTGACTCCTGGGTAAATTCATATTTGGAGAATCACAAACTGTGAGACCATCAGGAGATAAAAACTACAAAAAGTTTATTTACCATTAAAAACACCTAGCTTTTGCCGGCCTCCTGCCGAGGGGTCCATTAATCGCCACGTTGACCTGTGCCCGGCACATGCCGCCCTACGGACCTGGCTGATGGAGAGATGCCCCCCCAATAGGAAACCACCGGGCACCGCAGGGCACGCCTTGGCTAGTGGTATGGTGAAGACCACAAACCCCATGTGCGCCCGGGCGAGGAGTAACTGGCCACCGGATGAAGCGCCCCTTCTCCCCGCCAAACCTCCTAGGCAAGAGATGGACGAACGAGAGGAGCTTGACACCTTCAGCACCGAATCGTGTGACCTGGCGGGCAACATGACTCGTCATTCCCGAAGGACACCTTCGCACCAAGAGCATAGAGGGCCACGAGGAAGGAAGAGAACGGGGGTATACGGCCCCAGACCATTCACGCGCTCCCAGACGGACCGGCAGGAAAGTGAGGGCGAGCAGAAGAACGAATGCGCCCCCTCCATGGAGAGGACGCCACTGGAAGGAAAAGGCAGAGAGAGTGCGCTCGTGAGCATGGCGACTGAGACGCACCCTGTAGCAGCAACCTGCCACCACCAGGATGTCGCGTGCGCCAGCCCCGCTGTGGGGGTTGGGCACGCTCCCAGGGATGATGGATTGGGGGAAAAAGCTGAAAAGGGAAGGGGGACGATCGGGTGTGGCGTTGCTGAATTGACAGATAGGAAGAAACCCTTAGGTGCGAGGAGGAAGGTTAGGTATGAAAGTGGGAGGGAGGAGAAGGAAGGGAAGGATGATCGTAGAATGAGGATTGGAGGCGAGAGTAGGAAGGTTGAGTGGTGGGATTGCACGCATGAGGAGGAGGAGGAAGAGAGAACCCCCCCGGCACTAAGAGACTGGCGGATAGAGGCCAGTGGGAGGGAGGGGCACAGGCATGAGAAAGGGAGTGCTCCCCCCGCACCAGAGACATCAAAGGGACGGCAGGATACGATCAGGGGTGAGATTGGTATAGTGAGTATCACAACACGCCCCGCGCCCCTAACGACCTCCCGCCGGAGGAAGGGTAGGGAGAGAGAGGGGGCCTGCGCCCATGTACGTGTGGAGGAAAGATCGAACGGGAGGGTTGAGGCCATAAAGGGAGTAGAGCAGAGAGAATGGGAAGGATGGTGGGGGAGCAGCGGGGGACTTGCCACGGTGGTTGAGAGTGGGGAGAGCGAACGACAGGAGTGTGGGTATGGAAAAGACAGTACCCCAACACCTTCAGAGACCCCCCATCGGGGGAGGAGTAGAGAGGGAGAGGCGAGTGGGTACAAAAGGGAGAGCACCCCCGCGCCTCCAACGACCTCCCGCCGGAGGAAGGGCAGGGAGGGGGAGGCGACTGACACCCGCGGGTGTGTGGGGGAGGAGTCGAACGGGAGGATTGAGGTTAGAAAGGGAGGAGAGAGGAGAGAATGGGAAACATGTTGGGGTGGTAGCGGAGGATTTGGCATGGATATTGGGAGTGGGGAAAAACAACAGAAGGGTGGGTGCGAAAGAGAGAGTACCCCTGTGCCCCCAATGACCTCCCGCCGAAGGAAGAGCAGGGAGGGGGGGAGGACTTGTACCCATAGACATGCTGAGGAAACATCGAACTGGAGGGCCGGGACGGGAAAGGAAGAGGAGAGGAGGGAATGGGAAGGATGGGGGGGAAGTGGAGGGTTCGTTACGGTGATTGAGATTGGGGGGAATGAGCAGCAGGGGTGTGGATATGATAGAGAGGATACCCCCGCGCCAAGGGAACGACAAGAAAGGGTCCATAGGAAGAAAAAGAAGGGGTGTGGACATGAGGAAAGGAACATCGCTAATGGTGAGGCGATAAGAACGAACGTGGAGGCGCTGCCTGCGTCCCCGACGGCTCTGCACCGGAGAAATGCGAGGAGAGGAGTAATGGTCACACACACACTTATGGAAGAAGGGTTGAGTGGTGGTGTGGAGGGGAGGGAAAAGGAAGAGAGGAGATGGTTGGAGGATGAGAATGAAGGAACAGCAAGAGTGGTGGGGATATGGGTGAGAAAGGAGTCAGACAGCGCCACGGGGAAAGAGGAAGAGGGAAGGAAGGTGGGACCGCAGGTGGTCAGGGGAAAGAAAGAGGTTGACGAACAACAAAACAAAGCCCTTGATGAAGGAATGCCTCCCCCCCCGAGGAACGAACAAGACAGGGAAAGAAAGGAGGTGGGAAGGAGAGAGTCAGGAACGTAGCAACTCGCGAAAGGACAATTAAGAACTTAAAGCAGGAGGACTATCTGGGCCTGGTCACGAGATCTAGGAGTCGGGTGCAAAAGGCACCACTCCCATAAAAACAGCCACCCACTGATGGTTAGCCACCCTGATGAAGCCGGCAGGAGGCCGGTGAAAGCTAGGTGTTTTTAATGGTAAATAAACTTTTTGTAGTTTTTATCTCCTGGTGGTCTCACAGTTTGTGATTCTCCAAATATATACACACACACACACACACACACACACACACATATACAGGAAGTTTTTTTTTTTCAGACAGACCGGTCTGATTGAGAACACCTGGACATTTTTAACTGCTATACTGCAGTTTTGTTTTGTTTTACTTTTTTTTTTTTTTACAATATCTTTTACCATGCAGCCCCCCAACTAGGGGCAATAAGCAGGCTCAAGTCGCAACTGCAAAACATTTTTAAATCCAAATTTCTTTTTCTGACAAAGAGTTAAAGAATTAAATCGGGAGACTAAGATGGCCATTTCCAGCTTGTTCTGCTTTCATCAGTTAGCCATACCCTTTATGGGATTCGAACCTGGGCAGTTTACATACTTAGGCAGTGATTCAACCACCAAGCCACAGGCTCTCCTCCCCTCTTTGCCAGCAGAGTCCAGGGAGTATATACAGGAAGGGTTTTTTTTTTCAGACAGACCGGTCTGATTGAGAACACCTGGACATTTTTAACTGCTATACTGCAGTTTTGTTTTGTTTTACTTTTTTTTTTTTACAATATCTTTTACCATGCAGCCCCACAACTAGGGGCATTAAGCAGGCTCAAGTTGCAACTGCGAAACATTTTTAAATCCAAATTTCTTTTTCTGACAAAGAGTTAAAGAATTAAATCGGGAGACTAAGATGGCCATTTCTAGTACAGGAAGTTTTTTTTTTTTCCCAGACAGACCGGTCTGATTTGTCAGAAAAAGAAATTTGGATATATATATATATATCTGAGGTTTTCGCGGGTGTTTGTATGTAGGTCTTTGGATATTCGGGTTTTCTCCCGCGTAAAATTGGAAGTGTCTTGGCGACGTTTCGACGAAGTCACATTCATCATCTTCAGGCTGGTGTCTTCAGCTTCGTGCTTCATGGTTCGTGCTTCTACTCCCAGAAGCACGAAGCTGAAGACACCAGCCTGAAGATGACGAATGTGACTTCGTCGAAACATCGCCAAGACACTTCCAATTTTACGCAGGAGAAAACCCGAATATCCAAAGACCTACATATATATATAAGTGATGGTGAAACCCACTTATGCATCGTCGAGTGCCGGGTGGGTGTGGCACATTGGATGGGTGTGGCCATTGGGTGGGCATGGCCCATTGGGTGGGCGTGGCCCATTGGGTGGGTGTGGCCCATTGGGTGGGCATGGCTGCGGTGGTAATTTCCCGCAAAAAGTTGAAATTGACTGATTGAACCTTTTTTTTTTTTGCACACGGCAGCGGAGGCCTAAAGCGAAAAGGTTTTATAAAACCCAGCTGAAGGCCTAGAACTGGGGTGACGGCGTGCGTGCCCACAGAGAGGGCTCTGAGTGCCGCCTCTGGCACCCGTGCCATTGGTTCACCACCACTGATATATATGATACTCAGCTCTAAGAACTAGAAACATTTTTTTTCCTATTCCCAACTGTAAAGCACTCAGATAGCTGAATCTCATACCTGATACAAGTTTTGCTTCTACCCAACTTCTTGCTTTGGTTTGGCACACATTTCAGTTTTCTCTAAAAGCCCTCAGCTGCTCAGAGGAACGTTTTCTGGTTTCGGCAGTAGTTGAATGTAGATCAGGCACTGTAGAGGAGATTATCCAAATTCTGCCTCTGCTGCTGTGTAGACTTGTGGATGAAAGCAAAGATTCCTTCTCATTTTGGCTTCTGCTGTAGCTGGAAAGGGATCCCTTGCAAGTTCTGCCTCTTCATCCAAAAGGAATGTCGATCTGCCCTCTCTTATAGTTATCGTTTTCGGCAAAAGTAAAAGACACCACCAATGATGATTGAGCCCAATACTAACATTGTTATCACCGGGGCTATAACCCAGTTGCGAGACTTCCCTGCAATAGAACATAAGGGATGGCTTGGACCTTGTTATAGAAGAGCTTCCCAACTTTCTGCATATGTGTAGTTGCACTTTGCTATTAAGCTGATATTTCTCTAACCAATTCAACCAAAACCCCATTTCGTTCTTTGACTGAGGAAACCACAGAGTTGATGAGATTGCTATCTCCAACCTCTGTGGTAATATTTCTCCTCTTCCTCTTCAAAATTATCACACAACCCCCCCCCACACACACACACACAAACCTATTAATTTGCAAGTCAAGTGTTTAATTGAAAATATTAAACTGGATATAAAAAAAGGAGAAATGTGCAAATCTGAAAGTAAAAACATTCATCTTACCTTCAAAGACAATGTCAATCTGTGCTGAATTCTTGCCATAAACATTATGTATTAGGCAACGGTAAGTCCCATTATGAAACTCCTTCGCTGAATGAACCGTTACTATCTTATTGTTATTTGAAAATTCCACATTAACTTTGGAGGGAAGATCCCAGGAATATTCTGGATGGGGTTTTGCTTTAGCATTACAAGTCACCACAATTTTTGAATCCACTTTGTAAGTCACATGAGTAGCTGATATGCTGACATTATAAGGGCTAGCTGCAAGAAAAAACCAAAAAGGTTAGTCCTGTTTGCCATTTCATGTTCAGCATTGATTGACAGCTCAGAAATTCGAACAACCAAGACTGGTCGATTTCTCTGTCTACTCTTCAGACACCACTTTCCTATCAGGTATTTTGTGTTATTTTGTGTTCTGTTCTGTTAATAAGGATTTGTCCTTAAACATCTGTGGAATGAACACTAGACATTTTAGTAAAGCATAGTTGAAATTCTTTACTAAATTCCCTAGTATGCTTTTCCCACAGCATTTCATGAACTGACCATGTAATTGCTTTGTTCCATGATCAGTTCATGAAGCACTTTAGGAAAGGTAGCCTCTGAATAATGAAAGGTGGGCTGCCTAGAGATGGCATTTTTATAATGAAAGAAGTATATGTAAGAGATCTGAGTACTGCTTTAATCTAAGCAAATATCTTATTTTTTTAAAGAGGAAAATGAACACTAGCCAGACTTCAATGCTACTAGTGTTCCTCCTGCTATAAATCTATGGATAGTGAGATTTCTGAGTTCATAAAAAATAATTATAAGATGTTACACTGGAAAAACTAACCTAGTAATAGATGACAGGCCAGAAGATCTATGCAGTATAGCACTATTATTACCCAGTCATTAGGGAAGGTGAGGTGTACCAGAATTGGGTGTGATCCTAAGAGCATGGGACAAAAGAACCCCTAGTTTTGACATAAAGTGCAAGCGTGGACAAGCTATAAAGCTAGCTTCATGTTGTCTGTGCCAAATTATACTAGTCAAGTGGAAGAGAAGATCTCAGCCTGCTACACCCTATTCTCACTTAACTGTGTTGAACGCCAGGAATGAAACCAAGTGGTTTCCCACAGCTATGCCTCCCCAGTAAGTCAACCATGACAAGGATGGCAAGTAATATCCACTGTAAATAAGGTGGCAAGAGCATCCTTGCCCTGGGGATACATTGTCATTATATGTATACTTAAACAGTTTCTGGAAAAGCCCATGGTGCTTCTGAAATCTTCACACTCGTTTATCTGGTCAGCAATGTGACAAAAAATATTTTCCTGCCACAAGAGGGAAATAGGCTTCACCAATAGTCTTTGTGAGAAAGAAGGGAAAGAAAGGTGGGCTTGATGGGATTGCTTAAATGCTGCTCTCACTATCAAGGACAAGTCCTAGATTTTTCCAAGCTAGGACAAATTGCCGGAGAGAAGTATGACATCTAATAACAAATAACCATCCCTAGTCTGAAGGAGGAAAAAAAAAAAGTTAACCTGCCATGCAATAAATGCAACTTACCCACAACCTTCAAAGTTTGATTTGCATTTTTTCTCAGCACTTGTGCACCCAACAGGAGGTTGGCCTCACAGAGGATCTCAGCCCCATCATCCTGCTCTAAATTAGGCACAAAATTGTACTCCACAGATGGTTTTCCGTGGCTACTGTTCAGGGTATTGCCATCTCTGCTCAGGGAAATGTTGCTGTGAGATGGGATGGAGCCCCTCACCTTCAAGCTAGAGACGTTGCACACAATTTTTTCCAAATGATCGTTCAGAACTTCAGAAACTGGATATATTACTGGAGTAGAGAATTCTAGATTGGGATAACAAAAGATAGCGATGATCAGTATTTGGAAAGATAAACCGGAGTTAGCACTTCAAAGAGCTAGGCAATCTTGGCCTCCTAGAGGTGGTAATGCCATCAAGAATTTATATGCTGTTGTTATTAACATGTTGTTTCCAGACATTATAAAAGCCTCCCTAGATGGTCTAATGAAAGAGTGAGGGATGAATCCAAATCTAAAGTGGAGAAACTTATTCAGCCTCCTTAATTAGCACCAAGCATAATCCCTGGGATTTATCTCATCAAGGTGTTCAGCTTCAATGCATTGCAATAACCAGTGGGCTATGCCCTCAGATCATGTCTGTTTCTCCTTGCGGTTGGCAATTGCCTCCTCATTGCTCAAAGAACCCTATCCAGGGGGTTGGACTAGATGACCTCCAAGGTACCTTCCATTATTATTATTATTATTATTATTATTATTATGGATCATCGCACAGTCAGCCAGATGTTCAGACTGGATTTGGCATTTTGTCTACCTATCGAGTCCTTACCCAGGACCTGGGATAGGCAGATGTGGATGTTTGATGGTATTACAGATATCGTTGCAGGATGGAAGCAGTTCCTAGTAAGGCTGCCTTTTGCAATTGACTAATAGCAAATTTGTCAATGCCAATGGTGTTCAAGTGGTGCTCAAGTTGTTTTGGGATTGCACCCAAGGCGCCTATTACTATTGGTACTACCCTTGCTTGCTTTTGCCAAAGTCTTTCTATTTCTATTTGTAGGTCTCTGTATTTTGTTATCTTCTCCAGTTCTTTCTCGTCTATTCTGCTGTCTCCAGGCACTGCCACGTCCACTATCCAGACTTTTTTGTCTTTCTTATCGACAATTGTTAAGTCTGGGGTTGCAGGTGCTTGTCTGTTTGAGGTGTTGCAGGTGCTTGTCTGTTTGAATTCTGAAGTCCCAGAGCAGTTTAATTTTATCATTTTCTATGACTTTCTCTATTTTATGATCCCACCAATTTTGCTTACAGGCAAATGATATTTCTTGCAGATCTTCCAATGCACCATTGTTGCTACTTTGTCATGCCGCTGCTTGTAGTCAGTCTGTGCAATCTTCTTGCAGCAGCTTACCAGGTGGTCCACTGTTTCTTCAGCTTCTTTGCATAGGCAGCACTTACTGTCTGTTGCTGTCTTCTCAATTTTGACTTTATATGCATTTGTCCTTAAGGCTTGGTCTTGTGCAGCCAGAATTAGTCCCTCGGTCTCTTTCTTCAATTTTCCTGCTCTTAGCCATTGCCAGGTCTTGTTATTATCTGCTTTCCCAGCTATTTTTTTTAATGTACTGGCCATGTAGTACTTTGTCTTCCCATGCCTCTATTCTGTTCTTCATTTGGTCTTTCTTGTAGGCCAGTTTGGTCTCTCCAGTAGTCAGTAAGCCTTCCTGATATACTAATTTCAGTGCATCTTCATCATTGTCCTTCAGATATTCTTCCAAAGCCATTTTTTCTTCTTCAACCATCTGATGTACTTGCAGCATTCCACGCCCACCTATTTG